TGCAGTAACATGCTGTATAGGTTTGTAGCATATGAATGATAGGCTATACCATATAGCCTAGGTGTGTAATAGGTTGTGCCACCTAGGTTTGTGTAAGTGCACTCTATGATGTTCCCACAATGACAAAATCAACTTTGGCACATTTCTCAGAACACATACCCATCATTAAGAGATGCATGACTGTACACTGAAATATACACAAAGACATAGATACACATATACAAAAATAACAAATTGTAACAAAGTCCAGAGTTTAGCTATTATGTTCTATATTTCCAAAATACTTTAGAAGCATTAGCTTATTAATTATATTCTCCCTTCAGGTCTCTGCTATGTAAATTTATCTTTATTCAGTGAGAGTGAACATTTTGTATTTTGTTAGATATTCAGCCCACTTCTTTTTTAATATCTCAGCAGGTAGTTTGTTCTTAAAACCAAAATTTGCTGGTGTTTAAACGAATGGCAAATAAACTCCCATTGCTTCTCAGCTAATGACAGTCAGGTGGGAAGAGAGGTGTATTTTTATACATAATTTCATTAGGATGTAAGTGCAGCAGGAGGTGTGGAGGATTATTTTCTAGCACTAGGGAAGTGCAACACTATCCACTGAGTTATTACTATATTTTAGGACTATCAAATTCTCCTCTTTTCCACATCAAGTTGGTGACCAATAAAATAAAATAAGATTATATGGGAGTTTGAGAGAGAAAGGAGCAAAAGATGGTACACAATAATATTTGATATTACACAGGCCACATATGATGTTAATACTGAAGCCCGAAGACAAGATTGCAGTCCAGAATATATAACATAGAAGAAAATTCATCATATCTTACTTTCGTTCTGACCATGTAAAGTCTGGCTGTAAAGCCCTGTACTTCCATTTCTAAAAAAAATAAAAAAATAAAAAATAAAGAATAGCACACATGAATGCCCAGATGCCAAAAATTGACATGGCTCACTGGGGAAGGCTGAGGAACTTCCAACTCCACTGATCTTCAAGAAGGAACTCAACATTCAGTAGGAAGGGTCAGATTTCCTCTTGACTAAAAAGTAGGGTATTGCACCTGAAGATTTCCCATGATCCCACTGAAATCTCTTGTTTCCTAAATCTTGCAAGTGGCCTGAGAATCCAAGGGCCAAGCACAGGTCTAAAGAATCTACGTTCAGTTTCTGGATCCCTAAAAGTGTCTACAACCCAATACTTTATGATGTAATGTTATTACATCGAGGAGAAAAGAAGCAACATTGTTATTCTTTTTCTCTTTTGAAGAAAGTATAGCCATATAGGACTCATTCGTTCATTCATTCATTCATTCGTTTGTGATAGGATTATAACTGTTAACAAGACACAAGCCTTGCCTTCAAGAAACTTACAATCCATTTTGTATATTGCAAGGAAATTGGGCACGAAATAGGTAAACAGGTAAATAATTATACAAAACGGTAAGTCCAATGGGAACAAAATTTCAGGTGCCTGAGGAAACTCAGAGGAAAGGCATTCAGCAAGTTCAGCAGGACTGCTCCGAGGAAGTGACATCTACCAGAAGATCCGAAGGACACGTTAAGGTTGGCTAGGCAGATGGAGGGATAAAGAGTGGAGATGAGTCCACAGCACAGGCACTGGGCTTGCAAAGTGTCAGCCACAAGAGCGTAGGACCATCATTCCGGTGGAAGAAAGAGGGCAGGGAGGGCGGGGGACCGGGGGATGAGAGGAGAGCATCAAAGCCTGGGTCATACTTAGGATCCCTATTAAAAAAGTTTGGTTTTGAACAGGAAAGGGACATGATGAGATTTGAACTTAGAATTTGGCTGCCCTGTGGAGACGACAGGAGGAGGGCAGAACTGTAAGCAGGGACATAGTTTCATTTATGGGAACATGGGAGGCTGGGGTAGGGCTGAGGCGGGTAGAAGCAGAGGCGGATGGGGGAGGAGCCAGGTGGAGGCTCCCACAGGTAAGGATGGGTCCCAGAGCTGAGCTGAGTATCTTGCAGGATGAAGGCGGATCTGCCCGAGGTGAGGCAGCGCACTCCTCCGCACAGGGCGCCACACCTCCCAGCTGCTTCAAGAGCTCAGACGTTCAGACATTGGTAACTGGCGCCAGGCAGGGCACCCCTGAGTCTGCATCTCTAAGACTAGAGTGCAGGTGAAGAGAAGCTCAGGATGGGGAAGCCTTCTTATGTGAGTTATTAAGGAGACATTTACACTGGAGGGGAAATCCTTGTTACAGTCAGCCATACTTAATTTTTCCACTAATAAACCAAACCATTGTGCTTTTTAAAATATCAATTTATTGAAATATTCAAGTGTGGTAGTTTTCCTGTGTGACTTACATTACTTACCTATTCCATCAGCAGAGGACTGGTGAGATCTCATTTCTCTAAGAATGTTCTTTGCTGTTGGGACTCATACTTTGTTTTATATTTGTTTTTAATTAGACATATTTTATTCAAAAATCCAACATCTCTAGAAATATTAATGCTTTAAAAATAGCATGCAAATACTCTTCTTCAAAAAGTTTAAATAGCTTTGTATTTACATTTATATCAGTTAACACGGCAGTTATTAGAAAGAAAACAATGGAAATTAAAAGTTCTCAGTTTATAGAAAGGAGACTTACTGGAATAAATGAAGATCTAAATCATTGATTTACATATATTCAACACCAAGAATATATATTGGTGCTCCCCCTAACCCCTGGCTCCTGAACCCTTGTTTTGAAAATTATTTTTAAATAAACTGCACTTTTTAGTTATGCATAATTAATTATGCTTTGATCAAAATCATATGTGACTTATAAAAGCAACTCTTCATCATTATAATTCATGTTATCACTCTAATGATACAATTCACATTTTAAAAATGGAATTGAGGTTTTATTTAACCTCCGCAGCCACACTGTAAGTAAATATAGAATTTATGTTAAGCTTTTATGAATATGAATGTAGCTCTGTATATGGTTTTAATAAAAATCTCTTTAGAAACCAAGGCTGAAGAAAGTAAGTTTGCATATCTGATGTTCAGTTAACTAGAGAGATGCAGCAAGAACAGCACTCAGTCAGTCGGTCCTTACCCAATGCAGAGAAAATTGCTGCAGCCCAGAACATTTCTCCCATTAGTGCAGGGATAAATAGGAGCCCACCCATGCGTTTTCCATAGATCTGCTGAAATGGGTCTAACATGGTCACATACCCCTTGGAACGCATAGGTTTTGCAAAGAACAGACCACCTAGAAAAAATAACAAGTGTTTACGAGAAGATAAAAAATTCATAATATAATAGTCTTTGCTATAATTTCTGAAATGAAATGTTTTAAGAACATGTATATGTATTAAGGAATCAATCTGAAATATTCTGTGAGTATAGTACTGAGAATTATTTATCAACCTAATATAAGTTTTTTAGTATATTTAACACTGTATGTGCCCAAAGGACAAGTGGATGATGTAACTGAGGCATGTGAATTAAAAAACCTGTCCAGAACAGTGGTCATTGAAATGCCTTGAGATCTTCGTATTACCCAGCACAGCATTTGGATATTTTGCATAAGCACAAGATCCAATAAAAGTATATTGAGTGAAAAAAAAAAATGAGGAACTCCATGTTACATAATATTTTTTACCTTTTACTAGTTTGATTTACAAAAAGAAACTCAGGTACAATACAAGTTGATTCATTTTTAATGATATATCCATACTGTTTTTGAAAGAAATAAAATATGATTATGGTAAGAAATTCACTGCTCTGATAGCCATAGGATCAAAGGAATTTTTTAACATACCATATTCCATAATCAAGAGATCAAATAGTGTTCTGCTACTCACCAATTTCTGGTAACAGCTACTTAGAGATTTCTGGTGACGTTTTTTCCACAATAATCATTCACATTGTTTGATTTATTATTCCACTTGTTATTTATACTCCTATTTGTTATGCTTTACTGAGTCAGTCGCTGAGATTTATACTTTCACTTACCTAAAATCAGACTAAGAGAGTATCCAATTGGTGCCTGAGCCCACGCTAGACCGTAATCTGGTACATAAACTGCTTCAGCTGTGCCGTTGATGTACCCTCCTCCGACCCAGGTGGCTGAAATAGAATGAAAGGTGAGGGAATGACACAGTCTTACCTGTTTTACCTTGCACCTGCCTGTCCATCGCTGTGGCCACTAGCCAGATGCGGCTACTGAGAACCTGAAATGTGTCTGAAATGTGGCTAGTGTGGATTGAGATGTTCTATGAGTATGAAATCCACACTGGATTTCAGAGTTTTTCTTTCATTGATCACATGTTCAAATGGAAGCATTTTGAATGTATTGAGCTAAGTAAATTATATTATTAACATTTATTCATCTTTTGCTTTTTGTTTTTAAATGAGGCTTTTAGAACATGTAACATTACATTAGTAACTCACATTGCATTTCTACTGAGCAGTGCTGCCCTAGATGTTTTCTAAATGTACTTAGTCATCAAACTTTTTAATGTTATCCTATATAATAAATCTGAGTTCAAACACAATATGTCATATGACTATTTCTATTCTCAATAATTCTATAACTTTTTCCCAACCCCCGTAACATGGGGTCAAATGTCTCTATTTCAAAGCCCTTCCATTTTAATTATATTGATCTTTTCTACATTTATCGTGGCTATTGTCCTCGAGGAGTGCTTTGTGTGTGTGTGAATGTGTGTGTGCACACACATGCGTCTGTGTGTGTGTATATATGCGTGTAAGTAGATGTATGTGTATGTGTGTGTGCCAGTGTGCTTTTCATTAATAGTCTGTTTCTAACTCTTTGAGGACACGGGATATGGCTAATCTAATATGCATCACAATTAAGTTCTACTTACTACCTTAAATTGTTAGGAGAGTTAAAGGAAGAAAAAGATGACACTTCTACTCTAAGGTTTCCTAAAGTGAGTTTAAATTTTCCCTCTCTCTCTCTAAGTACCCAACATATAGTAATACTTAGGGTCTAGACCAGCACTCAGAAGAATGTAAAATGTTGAATTCATACCCAGTCACTATTTTTTTATTTTAATCTTAGTATCTTAGGTATTTCATAGGGAATATTAAGAAACACATCTTTATCAGATGTATCAAATTTCTGTAGCATAATAGCTAAAGGAGGAAGGTCAAAAACCAAAGAATAGAAGTTTTGGCTAAACAAGTTTGGGCCAAGAATGATCTACAAACTACCATTTTTTTCTGAGAAGACAATATAACATTTGATCCTTGCTGAAAAGCTAATATTGAAGACGACACTAAATCTTTGCAGTTTATATCCTTTTAAGGTACAATATAGTAAAAATATTTAAAAAAAATCCCTATATAGAATTTGTGTAAAATTATGAGTGTCATAGGTTGGAAATAAGTTTATCAGATATGAGACTGAATTTTAGGCTGTATTGTTCCATTGGGAATAATATTGAACTCTGATGAGTTCTCCAAAATCTCACAGGTAGATTGTAAGTAAATAAAATAATATGTATACAAAACTATCTAAGACAAGTGTTTCTATTGTGTTTATGCCAGAATTCATCTGGCATTTAAGCCAACACGAGAAAGAAGAGGGAGTGTCTTAGGGTTAATATTAATTTGGAAAAGGCTGACACAAAAAGACTTTCCTGCACAAGAATTTTAAGAACATTTAAATGGAAAGTTTATATGCAAATCCTGAAGTAGACATTTAAAAACCAAGTACGTATTTAACAACCACTCCCTTCTTCACAGCAGCTTTTACATCAGGTGTTCACAAACAGCAAATGCCATCATTTGTTTTTGTCATTCTAAGCCCTGCTGAAATTTTAAAAAGAACTTTTTTTTCACTTGGTGTCTAATAAGGGCCTGAAGAAATGAATTCTATAGGCACAGAACCTGAGACTTTATCTTCTTACTAGGTAACTGGAACTGCCAACACACCGGCAACGTTTCACTGCATAAAGTAAATGGTCTGATGGTCTTACAAGCACGAAGCTTATTAGTGATCATTTTTCATTGTGTAGGTCTCTTGTCCCTTGTCCAAAAAGAACTGAATGATTGCAGGTATTATAATGTAGAAGTGAAGACTTCGTTACTTATTATGATTAAACAAGTCCCTCCATTTTTAATCAATCTAGTTTCTTCTATGCCAGAATATGCTCTCCATGTGTGTATATTTTGTGTCAAATTCATGAGTGAGAACATGGACTCTTTTAAAATATATTCATTTTATAAGAATCAACATTTTCAACCTCTATTCTTTATAAAATATATACAAGTCAATGAATGTGAGAAGGTTAGGTAATATGGTTCAGACTTTAAATGAATTATGACATTGACCATGATTCTTTTGAGTTCTGAGAAAGAGGGAAAAAAAAGCTTTAAAACTGAGCGAGACCATAGCACTTTATAAGAAATAGCATCATTCAAATATTTTCCATACACTTTAACAGCCTGTTAGATTGGAAAAAATCACTCCAAATAGTAAAAATACATTCTAAAATGTTATCTTTATGACCATATTAAATAGAATATTAAACTAGAGTAATGGAACACTATAATAATTTTCAGTGAACAAAAATACTTTGATATACAGCAGCTCATTTCTTTCTTTCTACTGTTATTACAAACTATGCACCTTTATAAATAAATAAAGTGAAGCCAGTTATAGGGCTGCATGTGGCACAGGCATGGAGGGCCCAGGTATGGCTGTCAGAAGACCTGGGTTTGGTCCCGGCTCTGGTCCTTGTTAAGCATGTAACTCTGGGTCTTCACTTTACCCCAGAATCCTGTCATAGGACTGTTATAAAGACCAAGTGATTCCATGTACAGTTGGTGAAGAGTTAAACAAATATAAAATGTGAATTTCTGAAAGGTAAAATCTACAGTCCATTTAGAACATCATAGGTTTCAAATGACCCAACCAAGACATTCAGAACATGGATGTCCCTCTCCCAGACTGGTTTGGTAAACTATTTGATATACACAGTGAATCATTTTTAAGTGGCACTTCTAGACTGAAATTGGGCATCATTTGGATATAATTCCAATGGGATATTTTTCCAATGAGCACTCAGAGCTCCAGTTAGTTACGGAGTATGTTGCTAATGTTCAAAAGGCTACCAAGACTCTGAAATGATATATGGGTTGTTAGTGAAAGTGTATCTAATATAAAAGGTACAGTTTTAAGTTGTTTTTCAGAATTGTTTTCAATGACCAAGGAGAACATGAAAAAGAAACAAATCACCCTTTAAACAAAACCACCTCAGGGCAAAGGAGGAAACAATAACACAAAGAAGGTTTGAATGACAGAGAGCTACAGATGGTGGCCCTGGGATTCCTGTGAGGACACGCCCTAGCTTTCTTCCTTTTATACCGAGGTTCCTAGAAATCTCTTTTTTAGTGTTGTGGAATCATAATGTGATTTTTTT